GCGAATTACGTGTGATTGGTTAATAATTAAATTTAAGTGAAAGAATTATCTAATCGATTGTAAGGTTTTGACGATTTGTATTACTCGTAAACTTCAAACATCCTATGATAAATTATAGTTTTTAATCAAATTTTTTTTCGTAACAATTATACCACAAAAAATTATATATTTTACTTTTATTTATAAATTACAAATTTAATTGCACATTTTTTTTCTTTTTCCATTAAAATATTTTAAATTTAATTACAACTTCATCCAATTATTTTTTCTAAACAATATCAAAAATTTGGTTAAAAGAACTACTATTCTAGCCTGTTGCTGACTCATTGAATATCGATTATGCATAACCATATATCTAAAGAAAAAATTATATAGAAAAATATGAAAAGGCGAAACTTCATCACTTTATGGGAAAATGAGCATTTTTGAAGAACTTTATAATAAAAGATACACAGATTTGACAAAATTGACATTATACTATATGCCAAAATATCTGGTAAATAGTTATGTCAAATTAGACATAAAACGTGTTTATCAAATATGCGAAAAGGAGGGAATCGTTGATATTTTAAGACTGCATCATGATAACAAGAAATACGAGAATGCTTGGACTATTTTTTCTGAAATTGATACTTGTAAATTTAGCACAGTTCAAAGACGCAAATAATATTTATATGAACTAAAAAAGCTAAACTGATGAAGAAATAAGAATAAGTTTGCATTTCATTGATTAGAAGTTTAAATTTAATTGATATTTCTTTTCGCAATTGATACCAATCATTCATTATCAATTGATATTTCTTTTCGCAATTGATACCAATCGTTCATTATCTCTACCAATTCATGTATTTATAATTAATCAACGAATTTAATTGAAAAGAAACAGCACTATGAACTTGAACTTGCTTCGCGTAATCTGCTAATATTTCATTAAGTTGTTAACTTCAAAAAAAAGCAATTAAATTGGTTTTATTGTAAATTAATAATCTTTCTTTATTGCTAGAAAATGTTTAGATCAACTTCTTAAAGCCATCATCTTTAAATAATTTAAATAATTTAATTAAATATTTTAGATGCAAAAAATGAAATAATTAAACATTATTTTCTATGTTTAACATAATTTAAATTGAGCTATATAACAAATGTTTACATTCAAAATAGATTATTTAAATACATAAGATCGTACCACAATTAAATAATTTCAATTGATTAAGTCTTCAACTTCATACAATAAAATAATTTAATTAACATTAGTATATTAACAAACAAAATAAATTTATTCTGCAAAATCACTTTTGTTTAGTTAAATATAAATACTGTACTTAAATTAACAAAAGAATCTTTTATTCTTATTTTAAGAATAAAACAATGTCAAAAAAAGAAGCAATTCTTAAAGAGTCCTTAAAAATTATTGAAAAAATTCAAAGTAGTGAATGCAAAAATAAAGATAAAACCATTTACAAGAAGAATATTGTCAACCCAATAATTAAAAGGTATAAAGATGACTGAAATAATATAATAATTATATTTATTCGTTTATATAATTTTATAAATTACAATACTTTCAACAAAGTAATCTTTTTACTTATGTTTTAAGAACAATAAAGGATGAAGTTTTAAAAAGAGAAAAGAAAATAGAAAAACTTCAAGAATCCTTGAAAATAATTGAAGCAATTCGCAAAGATAATGAAAAAAAATGAAAAGTTTTCTGTAAAAGAAATTTTGGATTTTTTAAATCGAGAAAAATTTAAAAAAAAATTTAGTTTAATTAGAAGTTCTGTCACAACAATTATGTTTTAAAACAAATATCTTTATTTTGCAAAATAAATCGATTCTTGTACATCACTAATAATTATATAGGGGAGTAAAAAATATACTTATTCAAAATGAAAACGAACATTGCTTTAACTATATTTTAGATGAAAATGATTATTATGGCCAATTTTCTTTTCAAAAGTTTCATTGCCGTCATTCTTTCGATCATTCATCTCAAATACCTTTATTTGGTAATCAATTAATCTGTTCCATTCTTAAATAACTATATATTAGTTTCTTTTTTAATTCCTTGATGCATAGACTTAATATTTTCAATTTATAGAAATCTTAGATCACTTTATTTCACAATTATAAGAAAATTATAAGAAATAACAATCAAGAAAAAAATACGATTCTCTGAATATTAATTATTTTCAAAAATAGCTAATTTTTGCATATTAAAATTTTACCCACTAATAAACCAATCAAAAATAGTATGCTTTGAGTAAAGAAATTTATTCTAGTAATGTTTTTGTTGATGTCATTGATATTTTTTTTATAAACTGGATTTATAGACAAGTATTGATATAATATCAATATTCACATATTCAATTTTGAGTAACAATTTACATGTAACAATTTAAATCAATTTAATCAATTAACAATATATGCAATAGTAATCTTAAATAAATTATCTATTGCAACTGAAGTCAATTTCTTTAATAGAAAATTTCATAATAAAAAATCAAAAAAAATATTTATCTAAACTCTATTGAATTAAAATTTTATAAATTAATATTTGAGTTAATATAGATGTACCCGTAGGGTACATCTATAATTTTTGTACCCATTATTTTGATGCATATCAGAGTTATTAAGTTGCATCTGTACAATGATACTACATACAAAAGTAGTAATATCGATATTGTTTGCTGAGTTTGGAAA